ATGTATGTTCCAGAGAAGTTTGTTGTCCAGGGTTAGGCTCATATATTTGACTTCTTTTTTCCATTCTATGTATACAATAAAAAAATTCTATCTAGTCTAATTTGATAGTTTTGAGATTAAATTCTCTTTTCCTTGAAAATGTTACTATACTAGTGTTGTTTTGGTGGGGTTTATATTAAGTTTCACCTCGCGGCACCATCTTGTGGTCTGTTCTAGACCTCTTTGGACTATATATCACGCAGGATATTTGAAAACTTGCATCTAGCAAATATTATTGTCGTCGGCATAACCTTCGCAAGGTATGTCGACGTCAGTCAATCTGAACAGAAGTTTGTCTACGTTTAGGCTCCACATGAGTGGGGATAGAACTAATCCTAGAGAACATTCTCTGGTTGTGCAGATGGAAATAGTGTCCTCCTCTATCTAAGTCTCTGCAGTTCTCGTAGATAGCAGCTGATCCATCCATCATGTAATACTATATAATCCTCTGAATGCGGGTGCTCATCCATAGATAAAAACACCCAAAGTCAACGTACTGCGGTAGTTGAATTTCTTTACTTTTTTTTTATCTTGTAAAAAATCCGAAGTACGTGCCTGTTTCTAGATGAAGCAGACACATTCTGTTAAATGTACAGCTTTGTTAAAAACGAATCCATAATCCATTTTTTAACAGTTTTCTAATTCAAACAAATAGATCAAAATATAAAATCACGCATGCCGGCCTAGCATGTGTGACGGTTTATGTACCTATAAATTTTTATTGCCAGTAAATATTTGAAATTTTAAATGGCCATTTCCGTAAAATCAAAATTTGAAAGATCAAAACAAGTTTGTCTCCACTTTAATTCAGCCAACATCATATCAATCTTTCTTCGTCTTTAGATAGAGACATCCGTTAACGGCCTTATCATACAATTGTTATAAGCCAATGTTGTTCAAGCCGGCATACGCAAAGGCATACGCCACGGTCGCCGTAGTTTTGCTGTTCACAAATAAGTTTTACTGTTTACACACAAAAATCGTTAGAAGAAATAAAGACTGAACCTAAACTGAAATTAAAGACTAATGTGATCCGAATTCAGCTCGGAGGCCCTACCCCAACTCAAAATGTTTAAAATAAACCATTCACACAATAATATTTCTCTTAATAATTCAAATAAAAAGTAATTCATTTTAAATTTTATGGAAATCATTACATGATTTTTCCTTCCTGTTTTGTAGCTCGCCTTTCCAAAAATCAAACTACCGATATTATAAAAACTCTAACACCAGAACAAAGTTCAAAAATAAAAATATAAACACCACTAAATAACAATAAAATATTAGATTTTTTAAAAAACTAATGTACGACCCGAAGTAGAATATTTTCTGTAGACTCACTTTTTCATTCCGTGACGTCACTGCGTCCTTAGCAACCGTGATGGGGCCACCATGTTGTCTACGAACCGTGGGCTACGACCACGATACACAGGGCTACGACGATCGACGATTACCCTCTGTCATCGTTACTTTAAACAACTGTCATCTAGTCTATATAGTAAGGGAGCCCGTGATACTTTTTCGTTGCACATTTGCACAAGGCATTATCTAAACAGACTCTATTAAGATTCGAGGACTCCATCGCTTAAGGCACTAGCAAATTATTTCCATGTTCTACAAGGTAATAATAAACGAAATATTTGTAATTTTGTCATGCGCAAATAACACACCTAAAAGTGCCACTGCATGTCTCCCCTACCAATAATAAAAGTTAAAAATGACATTTACGGATATGTAATTGAAACTCAGAGTAGGAAACATAACAATACATTTTTAATTTCAACAGGATTTGCGCACGAGTAATAGATATCATTAATAACGGGAAAAACGTCTATTATAGCATATTTTTTATTTTTGTTCTTAGAAAAATCCATTCAAAAGTGACAGAAACATGATAGAAACTACTGTAATAAAAACAAATGTTTTATTATATTTATGTACGATAAGTAAGGTAAAATATTATTTTCAATATTTTTGTCAGTGTATGCATTAATAATTTTTTCTCGGTGTTTTATACCGGCTATCCGTCTCATAAGTCAAATTCAAGGTCACAAAATTTTTTTTCTGAATTTCAAAGGACCGACCGTCATTGTCGCTTCTTTGTGGTTATTATTCTCGGCCTTTGGTAGGTAGAGAGGTGATTAACGTCAAACCCCGTCGGACGACTTCGAAAATTTCGCAGTAATGTTTATTCATCAGTGTTGTATCATAGAAGAAAAATAATACCGAACATTTTAAATTATTACCGGTAGAATAGGACAATCGTATCTATTTATGGTCTAGAAATAATTATTTAAACAAGTAATAACATCCCAAATCATAATTCTACAAAATCAACAGCTATTCACAATTTATTTGACTGTTTACGCGAAATCGTTATTAGCATCTATAAAATAAGTTTCTAGGCCAATGTTTGGCGTTCACTTCGCTTAGCTTCGCGGCAAAACTGTCAAGCCCTGTGTATAAAGTGGGAAAACTGCGAAAAGCCTTTCCAACTTATGTGCCTGCTTTAACGAGATTGCACCAGTCTCGCAAGGAAAGAGGCTCAAATGCCCTATGTGGAACTTGCACTGTTTTGCGGCACCAGAAGAAATAAATTATTAGAAAGATTAAAAAAACATTGGTAAGTAGAAGATGGAATGATTTCTTTTGGAACTAAGACAAATACAGATAATGTGGGTGAATAACCAGAATAGATCGAGACTTTCTGAGCAAGCAACGGGGATAGAGTAAGATTCAACTAAGAAAAAGCCACACACATCATACCTGACAAAGGCCGCAATAATTTGCCTCTCTCTCAGATCCATCCCATTTAAGCGTCAGTGGCGTTTTGGCGATTTTTTTCGTTTTCCTAATATAGAGATACAATTGTTTAATAATTTGGCAACGCTGTACGACTGCCGTATGGTCCAGAATATAATTCGAACAGAAGCTATGCGTAAACATGGATCCCTTATTATTGTGAGCCAAACTTCGGCGTTGCCAAGCTTCTACTTACGAACTAGGATGTACTGCTCTAGTTTCCGATAGTGAATAATGTTTCACTTTTTGCACTAGTTACATAAATAACTATTATTTTAATAGTAATAAAAATCATTAATTACAAAATTGTGTTGCTATTTTTATTTACTTCCCACTGAATGTTTTGCAAGTCTACAGTCGAAAAATATATGTAATTTTATTTTAGTTTAGTTATTTAGGTAATATACAAATGTTTAAATCATTAAAATTTAACTTTTTAATCCAATAAATGTTTTTTTTTGGGAAACTGCTTTCTTATTTAAATAAGAGCCTACGCCACTGGTATATCGATCTGGAGCAACGGAGAAATAATATTTTAAAGTGAGGCAGACGATGACTATAGTTGATGACGCTCGTGGCTTTTTCTAAGTTGAATCGTGCTTTACTTACTGAACATTGCCAATTCAAAGGACATCTTTGGCAAGATTCTGTGAGCAAGAGACCAAAATTTCCATTAACATTCTCAATGAATGTGTGGCACAACATAATCCAAAGGTACTGTATGGAATAGATCTGCCCAGCTTGGAGTCACTATAAATTCTACACTTTCTTGGGAAGCTGGTATTGAAAGGGTCGATATAGACATCGAGACTATTTCCTTGCTGCCTAAGCAACCAACATAAGGGGCACAATATATATTTTAGGTCAACATAACATAACCTCATATTCAGGACAGTTCAGTGTTTGCCATCTTTCAGATGAGAAATAAAATTCTAGGTCCTAAATCCAGAGATGTCAAGATGTATGAAAGTTAAAATAGAACGTCTCGTGTTTAAATGATGAAAAAATGATAATGTCTAAGTAAAATGGCGGAGTTATAAGATTTATTAAGAGGTTCTATTCTGTAAAACTTCCGTTAAAGTTTAGAGGCCGTTAATATATTTAACCAAAAATGGTATTCTGTATACACAAATATTAAAGGCTTGTTAAAAATTATATATTTTAACGGAGTCCCTTAAATATCACAGGAGAATACTTGATTTATCGGAACTAATTTTGAAGAATAAGAAGAATAAATTTGAAAACATCAGTACAAACCCTTAATTTTCAATTCAAAACATACCTACATACATTTGAAATAAAAAATGTCTCACGTACCAAGACCTACTAAAAACCAAAAAGAGTTGATGATAAACTTCTTGAAAAAGCTAAATTTGCTTCACAGTGGGTAAGTATAAACCCAGTAGATACAACGAAATTAAAAAAAGTTTTGGAAAACCTTGCAGCAGAATAAATAAAATTGGGCCCAAACATCTAGGAAAATTATATTTGTCTTGAAATCTGTTTATTTTATTTGATTTTCCGAATTAGGAAATACAATTCAATTGGGTAACAGGTTATTGTAAATTTTATTTGTTACTTCATCTATAATTCTACTCATAATTGATTAACTAAAAGCAAAATTATATCCCTGTCCTGTAGTTGTGTATCCTCCTGTTCCAAAAAAAGGAAGAGTTACAAGAATTTTTCGAGATGGTCCCATGTGTGGTTCTATAATATTAACTATAGTTCTGGCTACATTTTTAAAAACTAAAAAATATTTTTAAAATCTACATTTGGTAACTGAAATGGGTCGCTTGAGTCCCTAATTGAACTTTAAAGTAATCAAAATTCTGTTCTGAAATATTAAATGTAATAGATGTACATTATAAATGTTTTGTTGTTTTTATTGTACCTTTCTTAATTTTCCAGTAACTCTTTAATCAAAATTTCATTAAAAATGGTTATTATTAGACTATTTTAAAGGAATCCGTTTAAATAATGACAGAAGTAAGTTAGTGAATACGAAAATATTTTTAAAGGCCGTCAATATTTTAACGGCCGTTAAAATATAAAGAATTTGTTACATAATAGACCCCTAAAGCAGTTAAATATTTATATAGAATTTAAAAATAAACAAATTAGGGCATTTGGAGCTTTTTTAATACAAACAACAAATTTTATCACACACTGTATTTAGGTACTTAGGAATAGGGTATCACACTAACAAATATTTAATATATTATGGTAAAAAGCATAAATGTTTGAGAAAAAAACAAAAATAATATACAAATAAATATACAGAAATATGTACAAATCATCAAATACATAAATAATACTTTCATGCGCATTTATAAGAAATTAATACTATAAAATATTTCGGAAATCATAAAATTACTACTAAAATTGGTAATGAAATTTAAGAATTGGATTCTCACCGGGAGTTGACAGCTGACATATGGCAGTTGACAGCTGACATTTAACATTTTATTGATAACTCTGTTAAATGGAAAGATGTAGTTTTAGCATAAATGGCACATTACATATTAAAAAACTTAAGTGTTTTGTATAAATAATTTCACACTGTATTAACAAATTGATGTAAAAGTAATAAAAATTATAATTTGATATATACAAAATGCATCGAATAAATAGTAAAAACTAAAATAACATCACAGATATTACAGAAATGTGCAAATTTTCTCAGAAAATAATCAGAATTAATGACTGTTTAAATAAGGTTAAATTACAGGCACCCTAAAACAGATTTAGTTAGTTAAATAGAATGTGCGCAAGTCACACAATTCAATTTATGTTTTTCTGACTCATTTACAATTTTGTATAGATGAGAGGAAAATTAGACATAAACAATTCATTTGTTTAATATTACTGTATTATACAGTTGAATCGTGAACTGGACTTCATTAACTACTACAACAATATTTTTAAAGTAGTTGAAGCTTCGATTATTTTTGTTATTTTCAATGATCCTTTAAATTTGCAGTTTATGTAAAAAACAAAAATTATATTTAAACAGTAGGTACCAGATAAATTAGATACATACATTGATATTAAAATTAAAAATCCATTTATTTATTTATTTATAATCAGCAGGGAACTAAGTATTATGAAGTGATTTTAGGTTGTCTGATATGTATTTAAATAACTTTTCTGTCACACATTTAATACTTAGTTTAGAGGATAAATAATCGAAAATAACATTTACACATATCTCACAAAAACTTTTACAAAAAACGCGCCTGTCTTTTCCTGTTTGACTTTGAAAAGCACGATGGCTCTGTGTCTACAGTAGTCGATTTGTGTGATATCAAATTTGATAAATATCAAAGTCTAATGGAAAAGAAACTTTTGAAGCATATTATTCAAAGTAAACTAACGGCTGATTATAACATTTTTCATAAGAATAAAACAACTTTGAGTAATTGACTTATAGGTTATGTATAGCTATTGTGCGATTCGGATTTCTTTATAAAGAACGACAATATGTACCATATTTGTTCTTCCACCATATTATCTAATAAATAATAGTTCTACACTCTATAATCTGTTAAAAACCTCGAATTTTGTCTAAACTATCAATTATTATTCTTTAATTATTAGAATATATTATGTACAAAGGTGAAATTTTAAATTTTAGTCAGAACCCAAAATTCAAGCTGAAGTCGAAAATATAAGGGTTTGGTTATCATTTTCTGCGTCATCAAAAGGGTTTGTTCCAACACCGGCTCAGAATTGTGCGCCTTTATTAGGCAGAAGTTGAGCCACCGATCTTCAGCAGCAGAACGTCTGGTGCAGATACAAATTTATTTTTCTATTTTTTTTACGGGCAATTGAATTTATCACCAAAAGATCAGCAGTTCATTTTCGGCGGCTGAACTCCTTCCTAATGTAGCGCTAGCTTTATAGCAAATAACAATCTACTGTGCAGAATCCAGACGCTCATTTTTTTTGTGATGGTTGTTGAAACAAATCCTATGTAGGTATATCAATTATATACCACTTTTATCAAGGTTTAAAGTTCACTTAAACTCTTAATTTTTACAATCGAGAATCAAATTAATCTATATCTAACTACTACTGAATAAAAACTGATATTTTAGCCGAAATTACATTACCTAACACTGGTTTAATACTTATCTTTAACATTTAAATTTACAATATTTGGAGAACCAGTTTCTACTATTGATTTGGACCACTCGTAAAACAGTAAAATGCTAAAAAAATATTTAAACCGTAGATAATTTAAATATGTGTAAACTTTATTGCGTGGAATCTAAATTTTGTAAATTTAAATGCTTGCAAATAGAATATCGAACAAAAGACAACAACATGATTTAGCTTATAGATGTTAACGTATTAGAATTATTGGTCGAAAATGTTGGTTTGTATCTATTAAATATACGTTATTTGTCAGAAGTCGCCTCAAGTGGCAAATAAGTCTTAATGTACATATTTAGATAGAAATGTCCACTGACAATAGGTTAAGAACCAAATTCGGACCCCTATTTTACCATACTGACTTGGAATAACCAAAAACAAATTGTCATTTAGAAAATATTCTTTACTAGTTTCTTCATCTAGAATCTCACAAATTTGGTAGTTTTCCCAATCTAACGAATCCACGAAACTCAGATATATAGAAAGACAATTTGTTTATTTTCCTAATGATAGACTTCTTCGAAATGAAATGTTTCTCGATAGTAACATAGGTACTTTAAGGCTACTTACTCCAAAGACCGAACTCTTCCGTTTTTTGAAGGAACTAGTTCCAGAAAATATGTCCCGGAACTATCTAGTTCCACTAATTGTTTTTTGTATCATTACTCGATTCAAAAAAATATTAGCACTAGCCATATCGACAGAATTAACTGAAACTCCGAGAAAGCTTTCAATCATCATATTTTTGCTAAATCAACTACTCTAAAACTAAACCTTTTGAAATCAGTTAGATATGAAATTTATCTACAAATCTCTAAATTTCACAGTTTTAACTTTGCAATTTTCTACTTTCTCTTTAATATATTATTGTCCTTACAGTTTTAAATAATGTTACTGTTATTACTAATAAGAAATATTTGTATATTTTTTTAAGGAATAGGTTAGATGTGTTTATGAGGTCAAAGTACCTGGAACTATACAGGTCAGGAATAATTGAATTGACAATACTTACTAAATTAATGACCACGGTGGATAACAGTTGTTATAGGTAAACGAAGAAGGATATCCAACTACTCTAATGTTTCAACTTTCTGAAAAATTTCCCTAGCCTATGCATAATTCTAAAAAATATGCGAAAAGTCGTATATTGGATCAAATGCAAACACATAATGACGGTTAACAGTTAGAAAAATTTAGTTAATTTATACTCATGTAATAAACAAAATAAAAAGTGAAAATAATTGAAGAGTGGAATTAAAATAGATTTTTGAAATTTTAGTTTTTAACATTATAATGTGCCAACATAAAATTTAATGTTTCAGTAGGTATGGCCAGTGAGTGCACAGACGAAGTGGTGAGTGCTGCTCAGCTGAACTCTCCAAACATAAACAGGTTTTAAAAAGTTAGTATAATTTCATATTTTATTGGTTCAAAAAACAAAATTTACATTCTAGATTGTGGCTCTGTTATGGGGTTCAGCGATCATTCTGCCTGTGAATTGTGACAATAGACCACATACAGGCTACGAATTACAATGACAACCCTGATTTTTCCTAGCTTTTTCAACCAAAATCAAGACAAATCTATTTAATACATGCAGCACACATTATTTCAGAAGTGTTTCAGAAATACTTCAAACGTTCCAAACAAGTTTCTGAAATATTTTAGTTAAATATTTCAATGAAAATGTTTCTGAAATAAGTTATAAATGATAAACAAAAGGTTACAAAACGGGCTATGATGTAAAAGGTCAAGACTTATATGTAAGAGGAAGATAGGTTATGTAATTGGAAGTTTGCGTTTGTTGTCGGTTTTTGCCATTTGCTTTTTTTGTTTGTGCGTTGTGCTGTTGTATGGGAATCAGAATATGTCTTTAGAAATTGAGGTAACTTTTCTACAGACATATGAAGCTTGTAAGGTTATATTAGGTTAATTTACTTTATCTCCTTCATTTGTTATGCCTCCCCTAGACTTATTTATTAGTTCTACAGCTCTGATAGAAAAGCACGTAAGCATGTATTGTTTAGGTATAAGTATTTTCTTTTATTAGGTATAGCTAATTTAAAGCAATATTCATTAAACTACTAATTATTCAAATAATTTGTTTAAAATCCTTTTTTTAAGTACTCATAATTTGTTTCAAGTTAGTGCATTTGAAGGAATTGGTGGAAATTTGCCTTTATATTTTATGAAATAATAAAAATTATTTATTTATTTGTTTAAGAATTAATGTTTCTGTTTTGTGTAATTTATATAAACTTGTATATTTTTAAATGTCTTTTTATAGTCTAATAAAAATATATTATCAGTGTAATATCACATTTAATATGCATATATATTCCAGAAATATTTTAGTAACGTTCCTACTTTTAATAATATTTATGAAACAAAACTTTCTAAAATATTACAATTAATTATTTCTGAAGGATGTCAAGTACACACTAAAAAAGTTTTTGTTAATTTAAATTCCCAATTAATATTAATTTTTCCATGTAAATGAATTATTTACATAATTTTTCAATGTAAACTATTTTTTGATATTGAAATACGAAACATCTATCTGTTTAATAGCCAAAGAGTTCACTATAAACTAATGACATCTGGGGGAATTGTTTATAATTACGCACATGTTATACTGTCATCCACCGTGATCATGACTCATGATATCAGAAGTGCAATCCCCAAATTACTAAAATTTATTTACTTTTATTTTAACCAACACACTATTAAAAATCCATTGTTACCAAAGCATGCATAATGAAACATGTTGTGGTCTTTTGCTCTTCTAGAATACTTTAGGCCATTTAAATACCTACAGATTGTAACATATACATTAGACTTCTATTTTTTTTTCAAATATGATTCACTAAAACTCACAATAACTGTCAAATAGACAGGTTATCTTAAAAATTTACCTATTATTTTATGCTTAAAGCATTTTAAAAGAAGTGCTAAATGTACGTTAATTTTTTCCTAATACCCTTTTTTAAAAAGAATTAAATATTTTAAAATATGTTCCAAAATACTGGAGTTTTTGTAGCATTTAAAATCTAGCGATTTGAATCTTTGGCTAAAAATTGGACAGTGGCAAATCCTTCTAAAAAATATGGCAACTAAATATATTTATATATTACATTAGGAGCAGTCTACATTATTACTTTTAGTTAATGAGATTAACTTACATTTTAATTAGGCCTTCTAAAGAGTTAACTGTTATTGGTACACATTTAGAATCTTTTTGTTCCTGTAATTAAAAACGAAAGAATGATAAGCCAAATAAAAAAATGCCTATAGTAGTAAGTTAAGACAATAATAGATTAATGTAGGTGATGTTCATAAAATACGAAAAGATTACTACTCCTTAACAAAAAACGGACATCTAAGGCTCAAAAAGACGAGACGTGATGAAAACTGTTGTAGTTGAAATTTATTTTTAATTCTAAACGTCTACCAAACGTCTATCATCGACATCAAAACTAGAATTTACCATTAAATCTATTTCGCGAATTTTTTATACTTTGAACTGTAAAAAATGCAGAGTTTGCATATTGTAATCTTTTTACATTTCAAATTATTTATTCCTGAAATTATACTAAGAACAATCAGTCTTATGACAAAAAGTCGGTGACATTTCAAATTGAATTACTTGAAATTAAACTTAAACGTAACAATCTCCAGATTGTTTTGAAAAATAATCAGATATTAAAATAAATAGTGTTCAATTTCGATGCCCAATTCATTGTCTAACATTTATTAATTTTTTTGTAAAAGGAAGTTTTTTTGAGAAAAAATCGTTACGCATTGTTTTTTAGTCTTGATTTCAGTGATGTGTTTTTTTACCACGGGGTTTTATGGTTTCGGATAATTTCCACATTGCATCCTCTCCAATGAAATCATCAAAATTTTGAAAAAACGAGATGATTTTTTCTTGTTTTTTAAATGTGTACGTCCTAAAATAAAAAATGAAACTAAATTATGATTCAAATTTTGGGAAATTGTCAATACTTACGCTTTTTTAAATTTCTTCATGTTTTCCACGATGTTAAACTGCTGCCACCTTTTGGAAAAGTTTATAGACGAATCTGGTAACAAATTACTATTTCCAATATGAACGAATGTTAAATCTTGCAGAACCAAACCACTAAAACAGAAATGGCCGTTGCAATTAATTGAAAAGCATCAGAGATCAAGTTACTTACATGTAAGGTATACAAGGGGGTTGGGTTTCTGCTAGGGCCATCCTATATGCTCTAAAACTTGATGAGCTGTCAATCAGAGCACAATATTCCTTAAGACCTTCCTGAACTTGTTTTTGCCATTCCAGCCTTCTTACTGGGGCAGAATCTAGAGCCGATAACAGGGCTAGGTACGAATTGAAATTGTTGATTTTTCTTAAATGCTTCATGATTTTGATGAACTTCGCGAAGTATTTTTCTCTAGCGTCTTTGCCTTCTGCAGTGAGAATTTTTGTTCGAGCCCTTAAAAAATTGGAGTTAAATTTGTAATCAATTTTAATATAACTATAGAAAATAATAGTTTATGTTAAGGGCGGCGTCTGGCCATATCGCAATTTTTTTACAAAATCGTTAAATGAAAATACTTAAAAATGATTTTAACTTTGTACCTTTCCGCTATGTCACGTGATATACCACATAATTGTGTTTTCATAAAAAAATCTATATAATTTTAAACCAAGCTTACAAAAAAACTAAACAATATTTTGAAGTATGATGTGTTTTATCATTTTTCTGTGTTAGTTGCACGGGTTGTAACGGAAAGACAACATGTAAATATGTTTAGTGATTTAAGAAAATTCCTAGGTAAGTTAATGCCATTATACGTGGTTTAGGTACCAAAAGTCAAAGTCATTTTTCGAGAACTTTAGAACAATTCCGTTTCTTAAGAAGTCTTTACAACCCTTAGACACACTCCATAAACAGTTTTCAATATTAAAATTAATGCCAGGAAGTATATTTTTCCCGAAAGCTTCATGTATAGTCAACCGCGCATATACAGCAGATTTCTATGGGCGAACGCCACCCTTAAGGCTATACCTCAACTATACACCACTAGGGAAATGGCAAGTGTATGTAACCAAACGTGTAACTTCTTTGCTAATAGCAAGAACTCTATTTTTCCATTTGCAGGAACAAAATTACTGAACTTGTTAGTTGATAAAGAATCAGCACTTTCTGTTTCACTATTAGTATATTGGAACTACTCGTACTTGATATTTTTGATTGGTTTCCGTTTGTTAATACGGAGTGGCAATTTAAAAACTTGGCAATGGCTATATCTCATGAACTAAAGAAGATATCAGAAGAGAAAACCTGCTAAAAACAATTCGAGAGAAGCTAAATTGGTGATTCCCGCCTGTATGGGCAAAATCATAGCGTAAAAGAAACGATTTGATTTTAAATGACAGACCGAAAGTCAATTATATTGAGACGTAAAATTTTCAGGTTTATGAAGCATTGGCGTTACTTATGCTAAACCACGTAGAGGATCTTCACACACGGCCTGTTTTGGGTTTTCACTTGTTGTAAGCAATGCAGACGATTGGACTTCCTGGTACTCATCCTCTTCCTCCTCTACATTTTGTCCAACCCAATCTATGTCCGATTAACTACTTGAGCTTGAATAATTCATATTTGAAATTTAAAACTTCACTCTCAATATCAACGACGCGAACGTATAAAACCAATGCAAATCCGTATCTGCCGAAGTGTCAAACCAAATCAGAAATAAAAAACAACCACACTGAATAAAAATAAACTCAATACTATCAAAACCTTAGGCATTAGGCGTTCGACCTGGTACCCTCTGTTTCATTGACGATATAAAAGAAGGCGCTTGTAGATATTAGGGCTTTTCCTTTGCATCGAAAGTGTACAACTGAGCTACACCACTTCTGAAAATATCGTTCCATTTATACAAATTGTAGATATGGGCGGAATGACCGTTATTAATTTTTTAATATCCACTCGGGGTTAATTAGTATTTCTGAAAAATCGGGAGGTTTATAGCTTAGTTTAAAAAGTGGGGGGGAGGGTGAGAAATCGGGAGGCTCCCGCCTAAATTGGGAGGTATGGCAGCCCTATCTACACTCCATAGTGACCTTGTATGGACACCATACAAAATGACCGGTTTCTTATGAGATCATATTCACTCGTGGACAAAAATGGTATTTTTGAATAGGTTTCTTTAAGAGCTCTTCAACAATGCCAAATATGTTGGGTACTACAAGAATATTAAGGTAAATTACTCCTAGTTTCCAAATATTCAATATGCCTAATAAATCATACCATTATTGACCTTCAATGCTCAATACGGTAAAAAAATTCTATATATAATAATATGGGTGTAAACTGGTAGGAAAGTTACTGATCACTTTCCATAGCTGATTGGTCACTTTTAGTTACTTTCTCGGTCACATTTATCTTTCTGCTATATTTCGATAAAATGTTATGCTACGGTAATATAATATAGTACTTACCAATAAGACATCTTATTAAAATGCTCTGTGAACCTCGTTAAGTTTGGACTTCTCTCCTCATTTTGCTCTTGCGCCCAAATCAGTACTTCAGGTATCTCAATTTTCATAAAAAGCTCAGCATCCAATAACGTCATCTGCTCGGCGATCTGTTCCGACTTAAAATCCAACAACGTGAAATTTCTGTTGTGTAAAGAGAGCGAGGTGACAATGTTGGTGTATTTCATGGACTGTTGCTTGGCCTCGTGTCGTTGCAGGTGTTTAACCCTTAGAGCCTTGGCCAGAGTCAGTTCACCGCACGAGATCAGTTGCTGTACGAAGCTCATAAGTTTTTGTTGAAGTTCTTCATCTAGATCTAAGGTCCTTAAAATAAAATGGTGCGCTATTAATAATTGAAGTTTTATATGGTGCTATAATCGTATATAAAGTTATAGAAATACTCCCAAGTCCTCTGACAAAAGAGTATCGCATTTTTAGTTACAGTTTGCACGTGTCTTCTTATTTCAGTTGCGCTTTGTTGTTGCTTAGTAGCGTAAACTTTATCAAGGTACGTTTATACGAATACAAGAAGTCACTTTGAAAAAATTAAGATTATGTTTAACATTTTGTCTACAAATACCACAATAATTTACTTTCGTACTTTATAAATAAATTTCCCAGCTGAATATTGGTTTTTAGCGCTTTTAGAGTTTTTAAAGATAATCCAAAACAGGTGCAAATTCGTGAAACAAATTCTTTGTTAAAAAAATATATTATAATAAGAGGCACAGAAAATATTTATTGGATAACTCATACTTATAAATTTTTTTAATCAATATAATTTTCTTATCAACTGGACTCTGATTCAGACTCATCACTACTTGCCGTTGTACCTAAATTAATAATAATTGGTTCTAGATCAGAAACATCTAATTGCTTGTATTTTTCCCAATCGGAAATATATCCTATCTAGGTGGAACTCTTTTCGTGGTAGATTTTGACGTACAACTTCCCAAATCTGATATTGCATACCATTGATTGGATAATTAATGTTCTTTTCCTACAACCATTTTATCTTTTGTCCAACTAAAACATGGAATTGGTTCCACGTATTGCGAATAATAACTGGTATTATCGATTATAATCAAAGAAGGATGTTCCAGACTAGGTATAAATTTCGTCTTAAACCATTTTTCAAATTTTTTGTGTTCATATTATTATGGTAATCCCCGCTTTTTGTTTGACTTTTAAATATGAGGTCTGCATTTTTTATAAACCCTTCTTCATTGCATCCATGGATAATTATGTATCGAATTACATCTCCTGTTTTTTTTACTTGCAGTAGCCATCGTTCCATCTTGCCAAATTTTTCTGTCAGTTCCCTTGCTAATATAGCCACGTCTCATCCATAAATACAGGCTTATAAAGTTACCCAGATCTATCTCCTTGTTAAAATTTTTCAAAAACGACATTTTTTTAACTGAATGTTCGTTAGAATAAAAACTGTCTGTTGTTACTTCTTAAAAAGAAAAGGCCAATTTTTCGAATCCATGTATTAATTGACTGTGTTGAACATTTCATCAAGCATTTCTTCCGAAAATCGTTTATGTAACGATTTCATTGTTACATTTTGCGCATCTTCATACATCTTATATATAACTTGCCTCAACTTACTTAATATTAAAGAATTGACTTTTGTTTTACTTTGACTTACTTTTTTTAACATTATTTTCACATTCTCTGTATCAAAATTTGTTGGTTTATCAATAGATAGTTTTCTGCGAATTATTTAATGCCTCTGCAGCCATTGTATTGTACCTATTTCCAAGAGCCTCGCAAATAGATTTGAGTCTCTTAAAATAGGAAACTATGTTTCACCAGTGGATACTGTTATTAAACCTGCTATTTCGGAAAAAGAAAACTTGAATGACTTTGTAATACTTTAATCAAAAAAATTATTTTATACATCAATCAATAATAAAAAAAATTAATTACCAGAACAAAAGCAAATATGAATCAAAGTAATAGTCTGTAGATAATAAGGGTATGTAAATGTAGATACATCAACAGAAACTACGTTTAGGATTAAAGTTTTTGATTGAAATCGTTTCACCATTTTGTTGAATACTTATAAAAACTTTTTAAATGTCAAAATATACAAATTTTTAACAAATTGACAAAATTAGGCATTCCAACGACCTGTCAAACAATAGGTGCCAGTGAGAAATTCTTGTATATTTAAGGGGGTAGCGACATAGTCTTGCAACTTGGACGCTATTTTTATTCGAAGTAGTACTCGCCAAGCCTGCCAATTTATGAAGAAATGTATAGGTGGTTTTTTTAAATATAATTTTTATTGTGTTTGACATAAAATATTTAAATGTAATCCATTATTCATGATTTTACGTAAAGTAGATAGAATACACCATATGTCGCCACCCTTAGATATACCAAACCTGTCCACTGGTAATTCATTTGTTTGGAATGCCTACCTGACATAATAACATGATGTAATTAATCTACGACGTGCCAAAATCTAGTAATTTTTTGTTTCATCCATTTTACATTTAAACAATAAAGAAAGCGAATGGACTTGGGGTATTTCCGAGACTTTAGAGCTGTTTACATAATTGCATGCTCTAAGAATAAGTCACATTCTAAGATGAGATGAGGGAAAATATGTTAACACATATCTAGATAAAACTTTTTGTTCTTCATTAATAATTAATTTTCAAAATGTACCTGGATTTTTAAAAAATACTTGTACATAAAAATATTCATAGATACTCACAATTATTATTACGACGTTCAGTTTCTACAAACGAGACAAAAGTGCAATATTGTCATTGATAATTACTGACGTAGTAATATAGTATTTTAGTTTTTCATTGCCGTTTATGTTTCTGAAGAGATATATTTTCTTGTAAAACGTTTTATTTAGTTATAAAATAATATATAGTTTTGGAGAATTATGGACAAGCTGTGCCAAGTTTACCCAAATAATAAATGTTCAGATGTAATTGGGTGCGTTCAAATTTTTTTACGATTTCTACGCAAACACCATTTAAAAAAAGTTAGAAGGAATTCATAATGACACTGGCCAATGTTAATTACCTTTCAACATAAATCTACCATGGATTTGAGCTACTCAGCAACTAGCACATCCACATGAAAGATCAGTGGTTGTGGCGACACCGAGTGGCCCATACACGCGACATATCAGCGCCACCGAGTGGCGGTATGCCATTTAAAAATGTACATTGTTGAAACCTGCACGCCGCTGCGACTCTGATGGCATTTTAGAAAAATTCAGACAGCTTTTATTTAATTTTTTTATAGGCATAATAACGATGATAAAGTGTGAGAGTTTGGTCATGCTCTAAACCCTGAAGTCCCTCTGTGCCTTATTCGGGCCTTTTACGCTCTCCGGTTTTCGCGTTATCAATAATATTCGATGAAACAAATTACCTCCGAAATCCCCCTTGATAATCATGTTTCGTTATCGTCGGTCGAGGAGCCATCCAGTCTACTAAGCGATATTTCTATAAAGTACTGGCTGCGGTATTGATTCTTAGTCTAGCAAGTCAGGAATGTTCGGAAAACGTCAAAATTATACATCAATAAGCTAATGTTTAGAGTTTTAGTCAGTTTAAGTTGGGATATTGTTGCGTTAGATAAATATTGTCTAATTAGTATAATAGTAGATTAATGTTGTATTGATACATGTTTCAACATGAATAGGTTTTTAGAGAAAATAAAGTAAATTACAAACTGTTTGAATAAATAAAAGTTACAAAATATTTTTCGGTTTTATTTTTTTCTTATAATATAATAAAGGGTGTATCTTATAGTGGTACCCGATATTTTTTTCAAATAACTTGACAACCAGGTGACGGATCTCCATGTTTGTTAATGTTTTAGAAACGTCAGTCCAGTACAATTTTAACAATGAACCACCTTACACCACAACAACGTGCTGAAATTGTAAAAAAATATTTTCAAAAAAAAAAAAAAAAAAAAAAAAAAAAAAAAAAAAAAAAAAAAAAAAAAAAAAAAACTATTGCGTGCCATGTTCCTAAATCGATTGATATCGAAATACGGCGATTTCGACTGACAGGCTCATTCACCAGATTTTACCGCACCTGACTTTTTCCTGTGAGAATACCCGAAGGGAAAGGTTTATGCCGATAAACCAGCCACTCTCCAATAACTTAAGGCCAACATACGCCGAGAAATCGCTGGCATTCAACCCGAAATACTCCAAAAAATTATGGAAAATGCCGAAAAACGGGCCAATTTGTGTGTGGCGTCCGGAGGCGGGCACTTGGCCGATGTCATCTTCAAAAAGTGACCAAATAAATTGTAATGGATCGAATTTCAATAAAAAAAAACATTTATTACAAAACATTCACTGTTTAACAAATTATTTAAAAAAACTTCGGATACCACTATAGGATACACCCTTTATATAATTATCATAGTTACCTAAAGATCATACCAAATTCACTCAGCCATGTTAAATGCAATAAATTACTATTCTATAAAATTAACTTACGTGAGGTCGCTAACTACTCGAACAATCAAAGCAAAAGCTTCTCTAGATCTTGGTTTTTTATCTTGTTGGTAGTAAAAATGATTGTATCTCCTAATAAGTTTGGTAATTAGATCGTTGGGTGATATGAACGTTCGATAAGTCGTCAAGAAAGCTTCTTGATACATAAAAACTGAAAGAAAAGAAATTTTTACTATGTTAAATATTGAATGTTGGTATGGATAAAGATATATCATATGCACTACATGGTAAAAAATTACTACATCGTCCTTTGGGAAAATCTGACAGTCTAATATAACTTTGTTACTTTTCAGTAAGTAGTAATTCTTCATATTGATCTACATATTCTTTTCATAATTAAGACAGTATTGACTAGCTATTCGCGATTCAAATTAATTATCGCGCGCCTCTCATTTGTTACCTATAAGTAGGACATTTACGAGCCCAGAATCATATCATTTGGCCCATTCAATATTATATTTTTTATTTTACTTTAGACAACATTGGTAAATACAAAAGAAAAATCTATTAAATCGAATTATTTTTATTATAATTTGAGACATGTTTATCAACATTTTTTATTAAAATTAATATTAGAAAATTAAGAGATATGCACAGTTGTCTAAAATAAAATTAAAAATATGACATTGAATGGCCCAAATAATATGATTCTGGGCTCGTATTTATTTACATTGTTTGTTTTGGGCGCGATTTTGTATTTTTAATTTTTTAACTATTTTTAGATATTTTTATTATAATAGCGTTTTTGATTTTCATTTAGTGTTAATTTAAATTTAGTTACTGTGCTTTCGTCATAAATATAATATTTATCATGTGTTTGGAAATCTTCACCTATCTGTTTGCTACACAAACATCTAGAAATATTTATTTACTAAATCCGGGCAAGTTTTATTATGTGGTTTAAAGGACATTTCAGGTGCCTAACGTTTATTATTGATAAACTTAATTAAAAATCTTACTATCCTTATTCTTATATTATGAAGTGAATTGTGTAGTACTTTGTATATATGTAAACGGTAATAAAACTGTCACAAAGCAGATTGCAGTTTGAATCTAGACAAAATTTTGCAAAATCTCAATAATGGTAATTTGTTGATATCCATTTTTCGTAAGAAATAAAAATTTAACAACTTACGCTTGGAAAATAATGAACCCTTCAGTTTTGATTTTGACATTAACACCATATAGATTGCAATTTTCTGGGGGCTTTTTCGCAAATTTCACTTTTAATATAAAAACACTATCACACACTGAGAAATAAACAAATTTAAAGTGCACAAGTAAAAAAAAATCAAACTATACAATTATATCAATATATAATTTAAAATATAAACAGTGAACACGAACGCCAATGTTGCCAAATGATAAACTGATTTTAAAACAAAATTGATAAATGAACTGAAATTAAAAAAAAAAACTATAATAAATCAGTCATGTATAAAATTCATATAGAATATGATAACATATTGATAGACACAAATTTTGCTTTTCCACTTATTTAATGGCTAAAAATCCGACGACGTAGCGGAATTCCGCTACTCCTAGCAACTCTGAACAAAATCCTACTCATAGACATCTTTTACAAATTTCCTCAAGAGGGCATATTTAGCTTGAATCGCGAATTTTCCAGTTATGTTTATTTTTTAGTAAGTGGTTTCTGCAGTTTCCGAAACTAATGGAACTTTCCCATAGAAGAGGAAAAAGAATCACAAAATTATGTAGATACTCATTACCAAAAAGCATTCTATTAAAAATAAAAATCAGATTTTTCAAAGGTCAGTAAAATAACTAAAAAAGTGAAGAAGTGTTAAAAGCTAAAAAATGGGAAATCTAAAATTTTGGTTTGAAAAGTGTGGTATGTAGAAATGTGTACAGTTTTTGAACGTTTGAAGGCAGTAAGGGGTTAAGTTACAAACCAACATACCATTCTCCTTTTCTTCTGCAATTTAGCAAACAAAAACACCAATTAATAGAAATAAAATAAAAAAATATATATATATATATTTTTTTAATACTTTTAATCAAAATAATAGTTTTTGGTTCAACCATTTCATTCACATATTAATAATTTTTCCTATCATAAATAGAAAATGTTCATAATGATTGTAAAGAAAGACATTTTCTATTGAATTCTGAGCGTAAGTGCTCTCCGATGTCTTTTCGAGCATATGGTGCAGTTATTCCTAATTCAAACCCATTGTAACTAACCACAGTAGCACAGTTTATAGCTAAAGAACCAGTTAGCTCACTCGGACCAATTGGACGTCCACTCCAGGGATACAAATTCAGGATGCGCAGAAGACTGCTATTTGAATATATATTGCATATTGTATTGTGTTATAGTAAGAGAGCCCACTGCAAATTTCGATCGATCGATCGTCAACAAAATTAAATATGCTCCAAAGGCATATAACAACATTTTACGTTTACCAAATTGCACCTGTGCCAATCCCTATCCTGAGCAAAGTGGTTAAAAAATTATTTTGTATTAAAAAAATCACATAAGACATGACAGCAACAATTGTGTTTGCCCTGAAAATTACAATCCTCATTCATTGTGAACCTAGCTTTTAAACCTGAATTATTAATATTTTTACCTACCTTTTAAACCATGTGCATGTGAAGAAGGATGCCATTGTATAAACCATTTGTATAGATAGTCAATAATAATTATAAACTCTTGTATAGTAGTTTTTTTGTCGTTTCTATGGCAACCTGTAAAAATGAATCACAACAATAAGCATACAAATATATTTTTAAATTAGCAAAAATTGATTCATATTTTTAATGATTTTTACCTACTAATCGTGGATATATGTTTTTGTGCGATGTTAAGAGGAAGAAAATGTTTCCCTTTATCGATAGATATCAAGATATATTTGAATATGTTATTTTCTGGAAAACTTTAAGGGCAAACAAAATTAGCGCTGCCATGCCTTATGTGATTTTTTTAATACAACATAATTTGTTTTAACCACTTTGCTCAGGATTGGGATTGGCACAAGGCCATTTAGTAAAGTATAATGTTTTTACATGCTTTTGGGGTATATTTAATTTCGTTATCAGATGACGGTAACGATTTGCGGTGGGCGACTGGGCTATTATGATTTGATTCTGTATGCGCCAGGTATACAAATCCGAGTTGCACAATGTATTAACTGGAACATTGAGATTAAAAGTGCTGAGGCAGAGTGAGCGAAATGATTCTTTAGCTATAAACTGTGACGGTAGTTTAAAATTAAACAGCTGAAAACTCTATAAGTCACTCCTTAAACCATACTAACCTCCGTTCTTGGTAGCTTTTGTTGCCTGAATAATTAACGCATCAATAGGCCCTCCTCTGATATCAGGTCCATCTTCTTCAGATTTTTTCCAAATCAAATACTGATCAACGTTAAGCATCTCCATCAAATCATCTTCACAAGACGGCGTACTGCTCTCAGAAGATTTCTCGCTCTTTGTTGTGTGTTCCAGAAGATCAGGTAAGACCTTACTCGCTGAAGACGGCGTTTTGGATTCCGAAATCGATAGAGAAGTAGGGGTAGGAGGTGGCGATCGCGTGGAATGACGCCGACGTTGTTTTGGAGGTAAAGCCGGTGGTAAGGAGGCAGTGTTTAAGTTGGAGGAGGAAATAAGTGAGTTTGGCGAATGTTGGGGAGACGGAGACCTGAAAAGAGAGTAATTTTGGACTGGTTACGCCACATGTTAAATAAATAATTAATTTAAACCATGACAGTTACGTTTATAAATTTGTATTTTTATTTTCCTACCTGTCATCAGATCTTGGAGGTAAACTAAGCGTCTGTATATGACCTTGAGACGCACGACTAGTTGAATGTGAATGACTAAAAGTACATGATTGGGTTGTGGGTAAGCCAGAATTTACAGGTTGAGTATACTGCACCATATGTACCGAATGTCTCATAAATTCTTGATCATTCGTGTGAGAACAGTTACCAAACATCTCCATGTAGGCCATAACTGTGAAAAATTATAAATATATGAAAATCTATTTGGATTTTTACCATTCCATAGTGCCACTACAATTTAAATTCCCCGACTATATTCTTATCGCTATAAAAATATGGACGGTGGTTAAAATTGTGTGGTTACACTACGTCTTAAAATTGCAGCGTGACTAATTGATCGCGCATTCGTTATAAGCTGACACAAGCAATTAAGATACAGTGCTGCTGAAAAGTTCCCTCCACCTTGTATATTTTGGAAGGTTATATTAAGACTAATGAAGTTTGGAGGGTGAAAATAAACTGTTGTAAAGCTTCTCTACTAGTGGTAACAGGTTTCGTAATAATCACAGATGATGTGACAGAGTCACTGTGACCAATAACTTTAAACGGGATCTTATGGAAAGTGAAACATAGTTTGAAAGGCATTTAAAATGCCTATTTAAGTATACTAATTTTGTTTGGATTTAGGGCATTTTTGATGGATTTAGTAAGTATAAGTATAACTGATCAAAATATACAAGAAAGGGAGGGGACTTTTGAATAGCACTGTATACCTAGAAAACATTATTTTTATTGATAATTGATCATTTTAATACAGTTTCAATATTAACTTTCTTTTACATTGACAATTTGTATCATCAGTATCCGAAGAAATCATATTACACCATATTTCAGTAAATATAAGAACTTTTAAGGTTGCTGCTCAATTAGATCGGACCTTAATCAAAGACAGTTTGATCTTAATATAAGCTTGATATAGAAACAGTACTACTTCAACTTCATATCGATGTGGAGCCACCAAAGATATTAGGTAGAATAGATTCTCCTTGTTTATATTTATTTTGTCTGCAAACATAATACTGACGAAACGATATTCACACGTCCTCTCAATTTTTTCAAATATATTGTATTGCAAATATTCCCTGTTCAAACAAGAACAATAATACGCTACATTAGTGATGACATAATTTGTATTCCACTGACAATGACAGAGGAGACTTATAAACATATATTCATTAATATTTTCTTTCTATTATTTTCAAGATTGTAGCCATTTAACATTTAACATCAAAAATAATTTGGTTACATACCTTTAAACTACTTTTTACGACCTGCAAACAATATAAAAAATGTATAATATTTCACATTCTGTGACACATTAGTTTGTTTTTATTAAAAGTTAACTGTCAGTGGAACACAAATAAGAAAAAAAATGTATATATACTACTTGTGTAACGAAAATTGTTTCTTTAAATTCACCTTTGATTCAGAAGTATTATAAGTAAACTCTTCTCATTGCAAACAGTACGGCATTGTGTGTTGTACCCTATTTAAGCCAAACACATCCATAGAACAAAAAGACTAACAAAACCAAGCTTTAAGCAAGTCCCGAACGTGTAGTCATTTGAATTTAAATTAAAATGATGATGCCGATTTGTAGTTGATCGTGGGCCGAGTCGTTAAGTGAACAGCAACTTTTACACTACTTGGCTATAATTATTATTAAAATTGCTACTGTTTCAAAAGTATCCATTGCTTTTGTTTGAAGATAACACTCAGCTTATTTTATTGATTGTTGCAAAATAAACACACCAAAAATTTGATTAAAAAAACAGAGCCGCAAGAAGATCAGAGCAAAAATTAATGAAAAACAAAAAAAAATCAACTAAATGTTAGATGAAATTTCCTTGATGCGGCCTACTTACCCGAGTAAGCCACAGATTGGAACACTAGGAAAAAATTTACGGGATTAACGATATTCTACCTACTAAAATACCACATTCTTATAGAAATTATTTAAAAAAAGTTTAAAGTAGCTATACAATAAATTAGATTAATAGCATTTTTCTAACAAGTAAACCGCAGGTCAAAATGTGTACATCTAATTCCTCTTTATCATCCAATTGACGCAATTCATTAAAATTATCTCTAGATTCCTCGGCATTTTCTCGGAAATTTCACAACAATTCATATCAATTCCTTAAATTCCTATTTTCTACAACTAATTCCTGTGGTTTATCCCTCGCAAGTAACTTTGACTATTCATAGGCGTAGGCTGCATTATTATAAAGCATTTATTTCAATTTGTTTATAATGTCTAAGACTTCCCTATGTCTGATCTCTACAGAAAGAATTTTAAGAAGTATGGTTAACATGCTTTATTTAATTTTCCTTAATATAAAGAAAGAAGACATTGAAAAATATTTACAATGCTGGCAAGATGAAATCTTCGGTCATACTTTGCTTGTATTGGAGTGAACAGTAAATTACGTTCGCATGTGCAGGAGAGGAAACTATGTGCTATTGGCCGTGGTGACTGTTAACATTGATACTGTGTCGATTACCTGATGTGCGAGTGCTATTTGTTATTCACTTTAACGCTTGCAGGCCTGAAGGTATGCAGAATTAACTTTTAGTTTTTGGTTAAAAATAGAGCTAGTTAAAAATAATTGTGTCTTGAAGGAAATATAAGACTACTCTAAAAAGTGCTGTTTCGAATAAAAGAATCATTTGCATATAACATGCACATATGAATATGATAAAGGTAGGTCTTTGAAGAAAATTAATCCTTGCAGCATAGAGAGAGAGATAACATGCGTTTATTGTCTAAGATAAAATCTTGTTGACAGACAAATAAATATACAATACATTAGAAGTTAACTCTAATACACATATACATATAAAATACAGATATAAACATTACATAATAAAAATATATTTTTAGGTATCGCTTTGATTCAACAGATGTGAAAGAAATTATCAAGGTGAGTCGTCGTTAAGATATTCTGTTAATTCATAGTATGCTTTGCAAGCTAGTCGTTCCTGAAGTTTTTTCCTAAAAGATTTAGAACAACTTTCATTTTTTATGGCAATAGGAAGTTTATTATACATTTTGATGCCATTATAGATAAGCGAGTCCCTAACTAGGGTAGATTTAGGAGTAAGCAGGTATAAATTAGTTGCATTTCGCCCTGTACGATTGTTGTTGTTGTAAGCAGATCTGTTCTTATATATTAAGCAAATAGAATTTAACAGATATAAAGAGGTTAAAGTTAATATTTTGTGTTTGAGGAAAAGTGGTTTGCAAGAACAACGGCTTTGTACCTGACACAAATACCGTACAGCACGTTTTTGAAGTAAAAATACACTACTGAAGAGCTCTTTGCTGCAGGAGCCCAAAACTGAATTCCATATCTTAGATTAGATTCTATAAGTGCAGAATAAACATTCCTTGCTGAAGTGAATCCTAGCTCTTTGCATGTAGATCTGAGAGCAAAACAGCCAGATGATATCTTTTTATTTAAAATTTCAATATGGTATCTATATTCAGCCCAAGAAATTTAATTCTATTATCTACTTGTAGTAAATCGCTTTCTAAATGTAGCTCTGGAAGTAGACATTTAAAGGTTAACAATTTAGATTTAGAGAGATTTAGACTAAGAAAATTTGAACCACACCATAATTTAATTTTGGATGCAACAATATTGTGTAGAGTATCTATATCCTTGCAATGCCATAAGACAGTAGCGTCGTCTGCAAAAAGAATAAAGTATCCAGAATTGTCAAGGAGTGATAAATCATTAATGTAGATTAGAAAAAGGTAGTTGCGTAACACCGACCCTTGGGGTACACCCCAGGTTACTTTCATTATACTGGAAGATTGACTAATTCTGACTAGTTGATTCCTTCCTTCAAGGTATGATTCAATCCACTTCAGAGCCCCATCTCTGACTCCATAATAGAAAAGTTTTTGCAGCAGTACTCCGTGATTTACACAATCGAATGCTTTAGTTAGATCACCGAATAACGCTGCCACCTTCTCACAGATATTAATATTATTGTAGATTCTCTCTAGGCAATTAAATATAGAATATCTTAAGTATTTAAATTTGGCATCTAAATATGACAATATATCTTGCTTAGGTTGTAGTGAATTGCTTTTGTAATGCGGCACATTACTGATGATGTAAAAATGAAAAAAAAAGTTGTTTATAGACTAAATATGTTTTTAAATTTAATTTAAGTGATTTTAGATAATACAATAAGCAGATAACATTTTAGTTAAATAATCGTTTATAACATAATAGAGGTTGAGTGACAACTGCAATAATTACAATAAAGATAATTTTGTACACCTTAACTATGTTTTTTACGACCTTCAAACAATAAAATAAAACAACTCGAGACTTTTATGCTAAAATCAATGACAGAATGATTAGTTTTTGTTTGGTTCAATGACATCACATTAATGTAGCAAAGCACAAAATGTACAAGTTGAGACCTGCCAGATAAGTATGTAGGTACGACTTTATAAATGTAATATAAATTATATTTAAATTTATCTAGCTAAAATGGTTTATTATAACAATTTTATAAATAATTTCTTTAAGAACAATCCTAAATCATTCATTTAATATCCATTAAATTCGATTTACTATTTATACCAAAATAATCTAAAATGACTTACTGTGTTTCTTTTTTGGTGGCAAGGGTGGTGGTTTAGCGTCTTGATCCCAATTACTAGTAATACTTGTACTGCTAGACAAACTTTGATGGGACTGATGCCTTTCGCAAGTTACGACCAATTCACCTAAAAATAAATTTAAAAAATTAGGTGACAAAGTTTAACCATGATGTATGTGAATATTGTATGATGTGATATCGCGCATCTGCTTACACTCCCCTCTGCGTCGCACATATGACGTTTATTTATTTTTCTATTTTCTTTTTAGATTTGCCCGAATATAAGCACTTTCGTTTCCATAAAAGGCAATTGGAGACACAGAGAGGAGATTCTTTAGAATGTAACATTTAATTAAACGAACTAAACATACATTTTCAACAAACAATATAACACTCTATTTAATATGTAGTGTAGTATTATGAAATTTTACACCATGAGTTTTCGTTTTAACAAGAGAAGATTTGTTTGATTAATTGGTAGAACTTAAAATATGAAAATGCTGGCTTGGAGCACTGGTCGCATAAGGCGTGCTGTAGAAACGAAGGATAAATAATGCATACCAAGAGTTGAGACACTGAAATGCATAGATTTCTGTAACGTGTGGAGGGTGGGTTAACCCACGGTACTTAGGCCTCATTAGCCCCATTGTGCATCCTCCTAATTAGATTAGAGGGGCACCTCCTTGTCCGTGAGCTAGCCTACAGATTTAATATAGTTGACAACATCGCCAAGAGGTGCTTCTCTTATATCGGCCGGTGTTAGCCAATTTTCACCGAACACAAATCTTCTAATAAATGAGAGCGTCGGGCATTCGTAGAGAATATGCTCGATTGTCTCATATTCTTATTCGCACCCCCTGCAGAGTGCGAATTCTGACAGCTCCATGATATGGAGGTGCTTCCATACTTGGCAATGACCAGTCAGACATTCTAGTACTAACCCTGAGTAAATTCGTGGGTGAGAAGTGTTTGTCTGCTATCTAGAGTATATTCCAAATCCTGAGCCTTGTTTTGTTTTAGAACCGCTGGTGTAGATATGAATCGTACCTGCCACTTCCGGCTATTCTATTTGTGCTGTTATAACTTTATATGGCTTATGGAAGATAAGTAATATAAAGCCAAAATTGTGAATTTTATACTCAGGTTTACGTACATTAAAAACTCAGACGAAGATATGGGCTTAGTATGCATCAATGCATTTCTCATATATACCGACGCTGTAGAGTTATTTGAAGATTAGAGCCTGAAACGGCATTTGGTCCAAACTAGCACATTAAATTTCTGACTAGGACTCTCGACAGTCAATGTTGTCATGGTCTAACGGTAATAGCATTTGTCTAGAGAACAAATATGTCTCAAATTTAAAGTTAAACTGAAGTTTAAACCAAACCTATACAACTGGCCCTTAGTCTATTATCTAATAATTGTCAAATGAGTGGAATTTTAGTCTTACCAAGTTTGTCATCTGGCACGTTATCATAAGGTGATGGATGTCTTTCAGTCTTTTTCTTAGTCTTTTGAGGTAGCGCCGGCGGTAAATCAGTATCAGCAAAGTCCACAATATCTTGACCGATGCTGTTGCTTACTGTTAGCACCGAATTACTACTTACAGTTTGCCTCGTACTTTTCACCTAAAATAACATTTTAATAAGACTCGATTGTATCAAAACGATTAGCAATTTACCTGTTTTTCTTGAATTCTAGTACTTTTTTGAACCGAGCTTTCAGCTTTGATGGTTTTACTCTGGGAAGTGCCTAATTTGGAAACTTGCATGAACTGTAAGCTATTTGAACTCATTTGAGAACTCCGCGAGTAACTCGAAGATCTAATGGATACAATACCGGAATCTGTATTAGACAGTCGATGATAATCGTTGACAGACGTTAAAGGATCGCCGTTATGATTAGATAGACTAGAACTTAAAGAAGACTCTTCCCAAGAAGTTGAACCATTCGTACCTAAAAGACGGTTAAATATGGTAACGTTTGGCGTCGTTTTTTGGAAAATCGAATTACCGAAAATATCTGACGTGTGGTTTTCGAAAAACATATCATCGCGATCCATTATACTCTTGATTTCGTCCTCTTCTCTCGAGGAATGATTTAACATAGAATCTATACTTCCTGCACTTTCTGATAATATTGATATTGAATCATCTGGAGATTTGGATCTTAGAGAAATCCTAAAAATCATTAAAAAATATTGTTTAATTTTTCTTAAGATACGGTAAAGATTATATAGGGTGATTCCTAAATTAACACTTTTTTTAACTGTTTTTAGAAGTCAATAAAATTAATAAACCTAAAAAATATTATATTAATTTATTCCAAAATGCGTCCGATACGGTCCTGTTTAATTTAAATATTGTTCAAAGTTGTCACTACGGATATACGTATTCTGTGTCACTACTCACTTCAACACACAGGTCGTAACAAAGAAATTGGTTTTCCTCTAATTGTTAGTGCAGAATGCTCTATTTTTGCAATAATTCTCCCCGTGTGTTTACAGACGTCTTGTAAACTAACTTTTCATAAAACCCCATAAGTCTGGTGACCTCGGTAGCCACAAACTGCGTGATTCACGAATAAAAAAAATAAATAGATATACATAAATACATACCTATTAGCCTAAAGGTTTTTTATGTTTTTATGCACTACTTTGGATTTTTTTAATCCTGCATCTTTCTCATTTTTGGGTTTATTGAAAAGATATATTTGAAAATGTTTATTTTAATGACTTTTATCGCTACAAAGTTAAAAAAGAAGTATGAATTTAGGAATCACTATGTATATAGCTTGAATGTTATGATATACTAAATAAAATAAAAACATTTTACCTTTCAAAACTGTTAGATGAAGGAGAATGATCGACATACATACATTCATCTATCATTTGCTGCATTTTTAGGTGTTTCTTTTTTGGCGGGAGTGGCGGGGGTGTCGTAAAATTACTTGACTCCGATCTACAAAGATTTTCTGGCAAGGGAGGTTTTGGAGGAGGACTAGTTTCCCTAAAAATAAATAGTAAGTCGATGAAGTAAAGTGAACGACAAATGTTCTTTTAAATTTTTAAATTTGAGATTATATCTAACAAAGACACTTAACGTGTGTCTTTTTATCCAACTGTTGCAGCAACGTTGGCATCGGTGCGGTATGTCAACTGTTATTTGTTTCAACGGTCAACCAAAAATGTATCGAATCCAACACAAAACGTTCAAGGCCGCATCGGTGAAACAACGGTTGCAACAAACCGGTGGAAAAAAAGACACACGTTTATCTACAAGTATGATGACGGTTTTTGGTTATGATTTGAAATTACAGTACGGCAGATATAGCTGAAGCCGCCAAGGTCACATGCACAGTGAATAGAAGAGCGGATCTTAGTTTATTCCGGTTTTTTGATGTGATCACTTGGATCTTAATAAATTAAAGTCAGAGTTGTGCATTTTGAGACATTGCCAAATATAAGTAGCGTAAAAAAATCGTTTTTGCTATTCTGTTGACCCTAAAATAAATTAAATTTCGGTTCTTACCTTAGAATAGATTCAGTGCTATGGCTACTTCGTACTTTGTTTTTAGCTATGGCGTTTTGTTCTAGTTGCTCCCTTTCTCTGGGAGTAAGAGGAATGTCTGGAAGTGAATTTCGTTGCGCTGGCATTTCTAAACTATTGCAATATGATGATCTTGGAGTTGTTTTACACGACACATGTTGGTGTGAAACTTTGTCAAGCACTAATGTGATTAAATCCTATAAAAAAATATATATATTTTTTGTTGTAACGTTTAATAAATAATAAGTATTTTAATGATGTTCACTAATTTTTTGAAATTCTCACCTTAACAGCATCTTCGACTTGTTGAACAATTTCATTAACATTTTCCTTGTCTAACTCTGAACTCTTATCATCAATAAGTACGTCATCACAAAGCTTGATTAACCTAGCAACGCTTTGATACATACGTAGTGTTGCCGACTTTATAGTACTTGTAGTTTCACTGGAAGATTTTACTGCTAGGTTGATCAGCCACACCGTGTCCAATACTATTGTACCGTTTCCGGGAAGCATTTCTAGTTTTTGTTTAGACACCACGTCCCTGAAAATTGAAAAGGGAATTTAGGAGTTTTGACTTTGCCCTCTCAAAAAATCAGAATCAACATATCTAAACTGTCAGTTCCCACTGGCAGCATTTTAACAGGTCGTTGGAATGCCTAATAGGCATATATTACTTAGACAATCATAAATATTTTTCTCAACTCAATTAGGTACTACTTGTTGTTGAGTGGTTTTCTTGTTATAGCTTGTTAGTTTTCAAGAAAGTTCTTTATATTGTGCAGATTTAAGATGGAAAATAGGAAATGAAACAGAATTAATACTAGGTTGTAAGTTCATTAACAAACCCCATTTTTATAAAGCCAACCTTTATTCCTTCGATATACTTTCAAATTGATTTTAAAACCAAAAAAACTTTTATTTTTATTTATTTTCTTTTTGCAACTGGTGACAAAATGAATTTTTCGTAACCAGTTTCATAATGTTCAACTTTATATAACTGGTTGCATAAGGTAGATCGTTTTGACACTGTGATTACAAAAGATGTCACTTTATACGTAAAAATTAGAAAATAAATTTTTTTAAAGTAAAAGCTATCTTAGAAATTTGTTTTTTAATTTTTTCTTATTCTAAATTACAGACCCGCACTCAAATTTAGATCTTACTAACGTAAGATATAATAATTTTATCGAGTCGACATTAACAATCACAATTTACTAGACTGTGCATGTTTTGAATTTCATATTTTAATTATTTTAAATGATGTAGCTTTTTTTCTATATTAAAATGGAAACTTACCAAAATTTAATTATTTTTTTTATTTAGTTAAAAGAAAATTATTGAATCTTTCGTTTATTCGATTTTATTTTTGTTACGATTATGTCTTTCTATAATTAAATTGTATTACGCTAATTCTAATATTTTTTTATCTATCACTCCCACGTATACCTTTTACTGGATTTTTCGTTTTCCGATACTCGAAATGTATAAGTAAAGACAATTTTTGTTTTTCTTAGCTGTTTTTAATAAAGATATATTACATTATATTAAAAAAACATTTTTGTCTAATGTAAACGGGTAATTAAAAAATTATCAACTACTATTATTTCTAAAATTTTTAGGAAAAGCTGCGCATTTTTTAATAAGAGGAAATTGTTAATTTGAAATTTCATAACAATACGTTTATTAAAAAATATTTTATTTTAACACGTAAAATGAAAAACCGAACAAACGTATCAAACAATTAAAATTTCAAAATTCTACTTCCTGTCGAAAAAACCTAGTGCAACAGATTACTGATTCAATCACATACGTTAAAAAAAAATAGCCAGAAAACCTAATTAAAGCACAATAGTGCGAAAAAGCCAAAATAGCAAAAAAAAAACAAACAATAACTAAAATGTGTTAAACATCATTCAAAACATGTAATTATACTTTAAAAAAAATTACTTAAAAACGTGTTTAAGTATTAAAAACCCTATTTTAGCGCTAAACTACATAGAACATTAATAATTATAATAGGGAAAATAATCAATAATCAACATAGAAAAGTGTCAGAACGCTAAATAAATGTAAAATAATTTAAATAATTTAAAAAAAAATCTTCAAAACAACTAATGAAAGCTCAAATAGCGCGAAAAAGTATATTTTTTGTGTTGTTAGTTTATCAGTAGCTGCCAACGACGAACAACTACTAGACTAACTTTGATTCTATGTTATGTTATGTTGGGAATGGAGTGTTAATACACTGCGACCTAAAAGATCTATTGTGCACCTTCTGTCGCCAATGCACTAAGAAAATGTCTTAATGCCTATAACGACCCTTCCAATCCTATTTTCTCAAGGAAGTGTAGGATTTGAAGTGGCTTCAAGTTAGGTAAATCTCCCTCTTCTATTTGATATCCTCCTAGATATAGTGCCCTTGGATTCTGGAGTGCTACACATTCAGTTAGGATGTGAATGGAGGTTTCGTCCTCCTCCTCACAGAAACTGCACTGATTCTATAAAAAGACGGTATATTACGCAGATCCGGCAGATCGCAGATTGATATACTACGTCAAGGTGACGTATTGTAGTGTGGAGGCGTAGGTTTTACGAATTTGAGGTATCAGCTGATCGAAAACAGTGCGTGAAAATAAATTTAAATCTGCTCAGGGCCAGTCATATTATCTATGAGGTCATATTCCACACAACAATACGTCATGCGCGAACTAGATAAGATTTCGTCGGCTAAGTATCATACCTCTGTTAACGTTGTTTACAAAAATCAATTTGCAAACATTCATGGTGTTATCTGTTTAATGTATTTTCCTCGTTGCAAATATCATAGTTGAAGGTGATTTCCAGGAAAGTACGAAATCTATTTTGAAGTCTGACAGCGGGGTAAAGCAAGCGTCTCTAGTCGTAAGTACTGATTTATTCATAAAAAGCGTCCTCATACATCAGATAAACAAATTCGCACAAATTATCCCCACTCAAATTAGCAGCCATCTCGTCCAATGCGCCAGCCAATGTGACACCTCGGCCTTCCTAATATAAAACAACCGGAAGGCTTGCAATAAATAAGGGCTTAATTATAAATGAATGCATCAGTCTAGTGGGTTTTCATCATTGATTCACAAGTAGTCATAAAATGTACCTATTATTCTTAATTTTTATATTGTAAAGCTGACATTTTTGGTAGGAATTTGTATTAGTAACATAATTATTAACATGTAGTTTTACTGGATAAATATCTACTTATTTATATTTTATACATCTGTAAATGGACTTTAAGCCTGCTGTGTTGTTATTATTATTAAATAAATAAATAAGAAACCAAAATAGTGAAAATATTCAAAAAACAACTAAAATGTGTTAAATACCATTCAAAACACATTCTGCTTAAAAATACTAGAACACGTGTTTAAGCGTGATCGACAAAAAATATTTCTAAAGTAGGTAGTTCAGGAACAAAGATAGATATTCGAGTTATGTGCGAGATAACTACATAAAAGACTCTGAATTAAATCCAAATTAACACTTAAAAAGAAGAAGAATTGTACGCTCCAGTGTTCGTGAATTTGTCCAAGGCCTACTTCACAAATATTTTTTGTGCATCACTTTTTAAAAACCCCATTTTACCGCAAAATTAGAACAATTATTATAATATGATCAAGAATCAAAAGAGCACCGTCGAATCAGTCGTTTCAAGTCTTAAAATGCTAAATAAGTGTAAAATAATTTAAATTCGTTCAAAATTGTGAAAAAAAAAGGTACCCAATTAAAACACAAATATTGGGATAAAGCAAAAATACTGAAAAACATAGAAAAAAATAAAACTTAAAATGTGTTGAATGTTACTCAAAACACTGAATCATGCTTCGCCAAAATATGAAATGCTCTGCACCCAAAAATTTAAATGTACCCGTAGGGTACTTCCTCCATATTTGTTGAAAATGCCGTTTAGAAGTACGATCTTAAATCTAAAATAAAATTCTGTGTGGGCAGAACTACTTTAAAATATGTGATCGAATCTCAGAACTTGCCCAACTACATTTCAATACACTATACATTAGTGTGACGTAATTTAAACAGAAACAAACCATTCGACACTGATTTTGACATATACGTTTTATAATTTGGTAGATATTTTTTAAAATATTGTTTGTAGGTCGTAAAGAGTAGTAAGTTATGTAACAGTAAGTAACCAATTTATTTTAAATGTGGCATACTTTTAAATGAATGCAATCTTGAAATTAATAGAAATAATGTTAATGAATGCCTAACTCTATTTTCATTTATTGTTTACAGAATTGATTACTATACGATTAGTAAACTACATATTTTAGGAATATATTTTATGGCCTAATAATAACAATTTAAAAACTAGATATTTAGCCTATAAACATTTTGTTTGGCTCACAAATTACGTCATTACTAATATAATGTATTGTGAAATTATTTGAAGTAATGACGACATCTGTCATATGTCTTAGTTCGTTGAGATTTTCATTGGTTAAAAATAAACGATATACCAACCTAAAATGTTTAAGAGCGACTTGAATCTGCTTTCCAAGATCTTCGAGTTCTTGCTCTGGCCTCTTGCTGTGAATAAATCTTTGTCCCGTATCGGCCGTTTTCGGACATCCTTTGGGGCTTTGAGACCGCAAGGTCACCCCTTGGATGCCGACACCTCCGACAGGACTTCTCATTTGTGAGATTTTACCGAAAAAATCGTCCTTGAAGGATCTGGCTCGTCTAGCGAGCTTATTGGTGCTCTTGAAAGATGATTTATGGCCTCCAGGACCCGAACCAGCCAAGGGCGATGGTGATGAAGCTTCGTTTTCTGAAAAATAATGAATGTGTGTTAATTTAATAGCAATTTTTAGAGTAAGCAATCTATAGCGGTTTTTTTTAATAACGGACTATCGAGAAAAATCATAATTGGAGTTGGGTGTGAAATTTAAATGTTTCGGGCTGGTACTTTAATTACTTCTACCGAATGACAGTCATAACAATAATTGACAAAATTAAATTTAAAAAATTATTTAACACAAGGCGAAGTTTCCCAGAGGAGGCTTGGTTTTATCTTTTTAGATATTTGTTAATTCACAGAATATAAGGTAGTGATCAACTGAAAATCATATTTTTTTTTGTTGAAGAACCATTGCATCCCCAAAAAGTTGGTGTTTGGGTTACAATATGTCGAAGAAGATTGGTTGGTCCCATTTTTCAAGACACACTTTTTTTCGTGGGCTCGTCTGACTTAGTCTCTGATAACACTGAAGCCCAATGGGTGTGTTCTATAGGTTCTTGGATCAGTGTTTCTTTACTGGAGCATGCCCAGTGATGAGTCCTGTTATTGATTTGAACTAATTTTTCTTCATGCAGAATAGTTCTTCTGTTCTTTTTCAACATGGTCTTCCTATAAAGATTTTCCCATGTGCTTGTTTTTGGACATTCTACCAATAGTTGTTGTGTTTTCTCCGAACCTAGTCATTTACGAAACCTCGAACTGTACTTTTTGGTACTCTAAGGTTTATATCTGGTTCCGGTATTTCTTCTGACCCTCTTTTTGCAAGTTCGTCAGTATTTTCATTTCCCTCGACCTCTTTATGACCTGGCACCCTTACTGCTGCTCGATATGCAATGATTTACTCGGTATATACAAAATGGGTATTTTCAACAAGATTGTGCAAGAGCAAATACGACTAAAAAACACTTCAATATCTTTGGAGAATTTTTTGATGAGAAAATAATAAGATACACTGTAATTCCATATCCAACTCAGGTCTTGCGATTCAAACATATATTATACGATTTTTTTCGAATGGCCATACATCAAAAATGAGAAAAATTGTGTTTTCGTAAATGGACATTTTCAACAATTTCTGTAGTTTTTATTAAATTTTGATATTAAATTGTTTTTCCTTTTTTTGTTATGTCATTTAGAGGTAATCGAGGAGGTAATAAACTTACTCACAGTTGGCAACCGCTGTAACAATAATTATGATTGTAAAACGTAAAACCGTAATGGAATGGGTTTTATTTATCACACTAGTTTTTTGCAATTTTTTTATTATAGTTGTAGATACTTTTTAAATACTTTAATAAGATCGAGCAAAAAAGCCAAAAAAACAAATTTCTAGTAGGGGAGTCCCTTTAATTTTTAATTCATTTTTAATATTTGTTGTTATAGCGGAAATACACATTCTTTGAAAATTTTAACTGTCTACCTAGTACGGACCATGAGGTACAGCCCGCTGACAGACAGAAGAGGCTTAGTAACAGGGTCCCGTTGGTTACCCTTCCGGTACGGAACCCTAATAATAGAGTCCTGTTGATTACCCCTCGGGACGGAACCCTAAAAAGTCCTAGTTAAAAATTAAAAAAGTTTGCCACCGGTAAATTATTTAAGTTTTCCTATAAGAATCTAAAAATACTCATAAGCATGTTTTGAAACACCGAGGAAAGTTTAACTGGTATAAAATGTTTATCTTGGATCTTTAAAAATACACGAAATGCGTAAATTTTTCACCGATTATAATACATTTCAACAAAAATCTTCACTCTCTAAAACTACCTACCGCTGCTTTTGAAAGCTTCAAAAGTATACTTTCAGTAAGAGATAATTTATAAAATTTGTATAACTATATTTAATTCTTTTCAGTTTTTTTATTAAACTAAAAATAACATTTAATTATTACAAGATAATAACGTGTCTGATAACTCTTCGGAATTCTTTAATAATGTAACGATTCTTTAATTTAAAAATAGTTTATGTATTTTAAACAGTTTATTTATAATTTATTTACACTATGTACCTACTAATAAAAAAGTGTTTTAGTTTTAGTATTAGCAATAAAAAAGATTTTCATATGCCGCCAATTTACGTAGACAGTTGGTGGATTAGGAAAGCTTTTTTATTACTAATTTTAGGAAAAAAAGTTGTTCTTTATAAAAAGTCGAGCATGGTCTAAAACCTAAAATACAACCATCAAATATCAAATTTTATCAGTCGTATAAAGAATAAAGGTACTTTACTCTTGAGTAAAACTCATATTTTTTGACAAACCTCGTATACCACTGAAAAAATTTGATATTTGATGACTGTATTCTAGGTTTTAGATAATGCAGAACTTTTTATGAAGAATAACTTTTTTCCTAAAATTAATAATAAAAAAGTTTTTCATATGATTCCAACTTAGGGGGAAATACTGTATACGGCTCGAGAAGATTCTCGGTGGTCTAGGAGCTTTCGAAATCCCCGAAATATATCCTCCACGCGTCGGGCTGTGTCTTAGATTAAAGAGACCGAAGATGTAACATTGCACACTGCGCATGTTATCTATTTTAAGCCCAAGTAACCCACCAATTGAAAATCATTGTTGCACGACGCCACCCGAATTGCTCCGATTTCCATTCAGCGATCACCTCCACCTGAGTATAATCACCATTGACAGCTGTTTTTTGATTTATTTGTTGGTATTTTAGCAATTTAAAGTGTTCTAGTTATTCAATTTCAAGTTCAAAATGTCACGATGTATCTTGAAAAATTGTATGTACTTATAATACAAGTACTACTGTTATGAATATATTCGTTTTCAGCGGTAAATATTTATTAACGTTTTGACATAAAGCGCCATGATTCTCTGGGCTGAATACTTCAGATCCGCATTAAGGGGTTTCAATAAATATTAAGTATCAGAAATCAGATTTCATATTACTTACATAAATTTACAAAAGGGTAAAATTTTGAACATTTAATTTAAATAAATAGTAAATAGGCATTATTGCTAACGAAATTTTGTATTTAAAAAGTAGTTTTATAAGAATGTTTTCTAAAGGTAGTTTTTAGCCCTTTTTGGTAGATAAATAAGAGGTAAAGAATCATAGTTGCTAGCTAAATTTTATTTTTATAAGGTATTTTTATAAGGTATTTTTATAAGAATATTAGATGAAATACAGGATGACATTGAATTTTCAGTCTTAAAACAAAGTAATCTAGTATAAACAAAAAAAAAATACTAAAGTTACAGGAGTTAGGTCCGATTCCACCGTTGTGTTAAACGGAGATTAAAATGACAGTGTTAATGTAAAAATGTCATTTTAAACTTCGTTTAACACAACGGTGGAATCAAACCTTAGTCACGTTAATAAAATGTTACATTACAAACCCCTAAACAACTCGAACATAATTTTCGTTTACTAAAAAAAATCCAAAATTTAGCAATATTTATTTATTATACAAGCGAATGCGATTTCAAAGATAACTGGATCAAAAAATCCGAATCTCTAAATTTTAGAGCTAAATGCTTAGATAAAAGTAAGCGACCGATAGGGGTTACAAAAATAATCGATTTATCGATAATTCTGATATTTTTTAATGAAAATCGATTTATCCGCTGTTTTTAATAAATTATTTTCGTTTTTTTTTTAAGATAATGTATTAATCGATTTTAAAGGAAATACAGAAAAAGTACATTTATTCAAAATTATCGATTTATCGTTTAATCGGTTTTTTAATTATTTGATTATTTTCGATTTTTCAAAGATATTATATGAAAATAATCGATTGAATATAATCGGTTATTTTACATAATCGATATTTTGGTTATTTTTTTAAAATTATCGATTTATTGGATAATCAGCTTTTTAATAATCAATTATTTTCGATAATCGAATAATCAATTTCAAAGGAAATATGAAAAAAGGATTATTAGAAAATAATAGATAATTCGTTTTATTTTTTGGAAAATCGATTTATCATAGAATCGGCTTCTTAATTAATTGGTTATTTCCGATTAGGCGATTATTTTGGAATTATTGATTATTTTTGGTATTTCAAAGATAACCGAATTATCGATTTTAAAGGAAATACAATAAAAATAGATTATTGATAATAATCGATTGATCGAAAATAATCGATTATTTAAAATAATCGATCATTCTGTTTTTTTTTTTAAATCGATTTGTCAGTTAATCGACTTTTTAATTAATCGAATATTTTTGAAATACAATAAAATAGATTATTGGTAATAATCGATTTATCATAGAATCGGCTTCTTAATTAATTGATTATTTTCGATTGGGCGATTATTTTGGAATTATCGATTATTTTCGGTATTTCAAAGATAATCGAATTAACGATTTTAAAGGAAATACAATAAAAATAGATTATTAATAATAATCGATTGATCGAAAATAATCAATTATTTAAAATAATCGATCATTCTGTTTTTTTTTAAAATCGATTTATCAGTTAATCGACTTTTTAATTAATTGATTATTTTTGATTAATCGATTATTTTCGATTTTTCAAAGATTATCGAATAATCTGTTTCCATGGACGAAAAAAAAATGGTTTATTTGAAAATAATCGATTATTTAAAATAAACGATAATTCTATTTATATTATATTTTGTAAACACTGATTTATCGGTTAATTGGCTTTTTAATTAATCGATTATTTTTGATTTTTCAAAGATAATCAAGTAGTGGATTTTAAAGGAAATGACAAAAAATATATTGTTTGAAAATAATCTATTGATCGAAAATAATCGATTATTTATTTCGATAATCACTCATCCCTAGCGACCAAATGACTTTTAATAGATTTAAATTTTAAAATGTTATCTAGTTTCAGACATGCATTTCTAGAGTTTTATGTGACTCATCCTTTATAATAAATAATATTCTTAAAGAAAGAAGCCTTAATATACTTTTTCTGAGGTTACAATACAAAACAGCATTTTCTCATTTTGACTAATTTTTAATAATATGTAATAGCCGTAGAAAAAATATAATGTTCAACTCATAAGGGTAGATTTGCAGTACCTATTAGCC